TCCTTTTTCATCTTTGTATTCAGCTGATTTTATTAAAACACACAGTAAAAGATCATTTCTACTTATCTTTCGATTTGCCGTACTATTTCCCTGAGAAGTTATTATACCTGTATTTTGTCCCATAGTTTAAAAAATGTGATGAGTGATTCTGGATGCCTCCATTTTTGAGGGGTTCAAGCTGAGATGTCTTAAGAAAGCCTTGTTTTAATATGGTCCTGAGCACTGCATCTCTCTGAAAAGCAAGCTGGGCACCTGAAATCTCTAGCTGGTATCGAAAATGAAGGCTGCATACCAATTTTTCTTCTGAAACTTTTGTGTATATCCCAATAGATAAACATTTGACTGTAGATTTACTATATGAGCGAACTATGCAATCCGTGCAAGCCTTGGCCATGATTCAAGCTCCCCGAGTTTAAAGCTCCCTGTTAAAACAATATTGACACACATGAAATATGTCACTGGGAACTCTGCATTACAACCCCTTTCTTTTTTTTCTGAGGAAAGAGCAAAGAAAACGTCTTTTCAGGATGCATTGTAGCGAGTGCTCATGAGCTGGCAATTTATTTTCTTCTTGGGTTGACACTGCCAGGCCCTTAGTGCTTTTATTGACTCTGGCTAAACACAGTGACAATTATTTTTGTTGGTTTCAAATCACATTCTCTAATGGAGTGTGAAGTCAGCAGGTTTTTTTGCATGCTGAGTGTATCCCTTTCAAACACCCAAAGGGAAGCGCAGGGAAAGATGATGACTTTTTCGTTTTTATCCTGTTGTACTTTGGCATTTGTTGAATGATTCCTTTGTTTCAGATCTGGGGGAAGTGAGAGAGAGGCTTGTGATTCATAGATGTGGTAGAAAGTGGAGCCAGGAGCCTCTTATCTTACGTTACCTGCTGTGAAACTGATTTTATGCAAGTAGCCACCAAAAGTTGGTGGCATGGTATCTTCTGCAGTGAACAGATGCTTTGGTTAAAGTGTAAATGTCTTCTGTGGTGGTGGAAGCAGTGTGAATTTCCAAACAAAAGCAGTGCTGACTAATCTTCACATTCTACCTTGAGTGGATTTGCAAGAGAGTTATGTTAGTGCAAAATTTAAGACCAGAAAAGTCTCTTTAAAATATTGTACTTATTTATTTAATAAAGTAAGAATGAATACTGGGAATTTTCCCTCCAGCTCTGAATCTCTACCACAAAGGATCATTTACTTAGTTAATTTTCAGTTTCCTGTTTCATGATATCCTGGAAATATGCAAATAGTGATTTGTATGAATTTGCTTGTCATGTGACCATTTTACATTATGACTAATGAGAATTAAAATATTACAAAGCAGAATTCGTATTCCTAACAGTAAGTATCTAAATCTGCAGCCAACTAACTATCAATTTTAATTTACCTAACTAAAGGTATCTAGGGGTGTGTCTAGACTACGTGGCTCCATCGACAGAGCCATGTAGTCTAGACACACCCTAGGTGTCTAGCTTTTGCACATTATGTGGAAACAACATAAATTCCACTATGGTATCCTGTGGGTATCCTGCAGTTCAATTACCTCAAGAGATGTAGTTAAGTGAGCTTTGACACCTGCACTGGAGGCACCCAAGCTACACCTGGGATCCAAACTTAGATTAACAAAGAGTTAATTGGGATTGTATTATCTCCAGGCCCACTGACAGCAGAGAGGGGAGCCCAAGGAGTGACTGGTGATTTTCAAAAGGGCCCAGGACAACAGCGGTGGCTAGGGCCTTGAACCCTTTAAATGGCCTTTAAATCGCGGCACGCTCCAGGCAGCACTGAGGTCTGGGAGGGGAACAACAAAATCCAGGTAGCACTGAGTGACAGCTACCCCCAGCCCCTCACCTTCCATCTGAAGCTCCTCCCCCACCTATCTTGCCTAGGAGTCCAGCTAGGCTGTCAGCCCCTCTAAATATCTCCATGTATCTTTTAATAATGAAGATTAGTGACAGCGGGATTCCTTTCAAAAAAACTGACTGTCAGCGAGTACGAGAGGGATTAGGGTGCAGGATCTGGGCAGGAAGTGGAGTGCAGGAGGAGGTGAGTGTGCAAGGTCTGGGTGGGAGGTAGGGTGCAAAAGCAAGATGGGAGTAGGGTGTCTGGCCAAGAGGAGGGTGCAGGAGCAAGGTGAGAGTGCAGGGTCTTGGTGGGGAGGACAGGGAATGAGTGAGGGGGATTGGGATGCAGAGGTATGGGCATGAGGGGGTATGCTTACCTGGCTTTGCACCCTTGTTGCTCCTAAGCACTGCCCCTGCCACTCCTGTTGGCAGGCCAAAGGGAGCTGCGGGGACATCACGTAACTGCTGCCATTCCCCCAGTGGAGTGGGGAGAGGGAGAGCTCAGTCTCCCTCTTCTTCCCCACACTGCGGGGAGCCCATGTTGCTGCTGCAGCCTTGCAGTTGCCACGCAGCTGCAAGGTTGGAGCACCAGCTCTGGCTTCCCGCTCAGAGAATGTGTGTGGGGAGCGGGGAAGTGAAGAAAGCCCTGACCTTCCCCACCAGATCTGGCTCATGGACCAAGGCAGAGCAAGCAGCTCCAACTTTCTCAGTCTTTCCCAATGCAGAAAGAGCATATGCTTTCACATAATGACTCTTGGGCCAGAGGGGTTTGTGTTGGCAGAGCATATGTGCATCATGGAGAGCTTGCTGGTAGTTTTTCAAAGTTATCCACAGTTCTGCTCATTGTGCTATTAATGAACATTTGCAGGAAGCAGTCTCCAGCGCCTGGTTGTATTTCTCCAGCACAGCCAGCAGCTCCTACTTGTCGCCCTCAGCACGGAGCCCCCCCACCTGGCTCTCCCCCTTCAGCCACTTCTTCAGCAGGCTGCCCAGTACCATGTTGATCTGTGGGCTGGTGGGCCGGATGCGTCTGTCATGACAGTGAGTGTGGCCGCAATGCAGTGTCACTGGCTTGCACAGCAGCCGCTGGCACAGCAGGCAGCTGAGCAGGGCCAGTGGGAAGCAACAGGCGGGGTCACCTAGTGCCTCACCCTCCCCCTCGGGGCTACTGACAGGCCAGGGTGGCAGCACAGTGCCTTCTCACACAGGCAGAGCTCCAGGCTCTTGGCCAGCTCCCGCAGGTCCTTGGGCTGCAGGTGAGCCAGCTGGGTGGAGACGCTGTAGACCTCCAGGGCCTCAGCCCTGCAGCCGGCGCAGGCCAGTGTATTCCCCTGATTCAGGTAGAGGCCCCGTTCAGGCTGCAGCAGCTCGGCCAGCTGCGAGCTGTAGATCTCATCCGCCAGTTCAAAGTTGCCACCGCGAAAGACCTCCTTGGCCATCTGCAGCATCTCAGTGCAGGGCCCTCACTCGGCTCCATGTCACCCATTCCACTCAACTGGCAACTGCGAGGCTCAAACGGCAGCGTGGGCTCCCCGCTGTGTGCAGTATAAAGGGGGGTGAACTTGAGCTACGGACCACCTGTAAGGTCAGTGGTTCTCAAAGTGCAGTCTGCAAACTACTAGTGATCCAGAAACTGAACTGGGAGAGCCACTGACCTACACTGAGCCCCCAAGCAGCATAAGTAATTTTTGTCTACGCTGAAGCACTATGTAGCTGTGCTAGTGGTGTAGTAGTGTTTTAAATGTAAACAAGTCCTCAGATACTGTGGAAAGTCCTAGAAATTGACAGCATTAGTGACATGATTTTTAAAATTTAAAACATTTAGTCTTTTTTTTTTAAGAGAAATGAGCAGAGATAAGCAAACTATGAACTGCTAGAACATCTCGCAGAGTCATTTATACCTATGGAGTTTGCAGACTACAGAAAAAATCCCCCCCCCCCACACACACACACACCTCAGTTGCCACCTTACAGCCAGCACCCCTAGTCTCACTGCCTGCAACTGCACAGCAGGATGCACTGAGAAGTCGCAGAGCACTCCAAAGGAGTCCATGTAACTGTCAGAAAATTTGCCACAGTGCTGGTGGGGAGCATGAAGCTCAGTGATGTTACTCCCCTGGACTTGCCCACCTTATGCCAGAAGGAGGAAGCAAGGGACCATTGTGGAGAGCATCCCAGTAGTTCCTTCTTCTGTCTATAGGGCCCAGCCATGGTTTACTCTTCTCAGCAAGCAAGCAGGTAAGTATATGAGCCACAGCCACTGCTCTCATGGGTAATACGTCAAGTAATTGCCTGACAGCTGAAATGCAGCTTACTTGAGATATGTTCTGAGCCCGTGATTAACCCTTATGAGAGGCTGATCTAAAATCCTTTCTACTAGCTATTAGGCACCTTACCGCATGTTAGGTAGCTAAATGATTTTAGAAAGATAATGCTGCAGGCGGTCCCCTAACAAAACTAGACCCTCTGTGCAGTTTTGTGACAGTGAGCATCTATCATCTGGTGGTGTCCCTCCCTTTTCCCTTAATTAATCAGAGGACAATTCATTGTATGTAAATTGAACATATAGAAAATGTATTTAGGGAAAATTTAAGAAAATAGGGAATTCAATGGGTAACCAAAAGTAATTTAAAAACAAAAGAACAATTTAACCTGTACAGTAGTCAGTCCCCAGCACCCACTGAACAAAATAAGCCTTTGGCTGAGTCTAAATAATAAGGTAAGTATTACAATAAGTTTATAGAAACCTTCTTGAAAGTTCCCAAGATGGTCGCTCAGGACCTCATATCTCATGGCTCCTGGAGAGCTGTGAGAGAGGAGCACTGAGGAGAACCCCCGATGTCTTCCCCGCTTCAGGTGGAAGGTAACTGGCAAGGTTACTAGTTATCTGGTGGTATTTGTGGAGTCTTCAGTATGGCTGTGGCTGTCTAGTCTGAGACTAGATGACCTGAAAGGAAACCCCCACACACCCTGCCACTAGGATGGGCAGCCCTGAGCTGTTCGGCTGCCAGCCTTTTATGCTGTCTATGGTGGGTAACCCCTGCAAGGGAAACCCTGTGGGGTCTGCCCCTACAGGGAAACCCCATAGGATCTTCTGAGGTAATTCTGGTTCTAACTGGAACTTGTTTACCTCTCTGTTGTAAAAAGGCGGGAAAACCTTTGCCTGTCAGACCCAGTGTTATGGGACTGATCTTTCATTTTGTTTTCAAAATGGATGCCCTATAATACCTTTAAACATTACAAACCTAGGGTTTTTACCCTTAAGATGCACCGGATTGAAAAGGCTTCTTGGGAAGGAACGGTATCCCCACTAGAGACACCAGACAATCTGTGGATGCTTAGTGCGTGGAACTTCCATTTCCAAGGTAGGGATATCAGTTCTAACCCTGTGCGGGGCGCTACTGTTGTAACTGTGGCAGCAGCCTAAGCCCTGGGCCATTTAAATCACCACTGGAGCTCTGGGTGGCACAGGTCATGCCACAGCTATTCCCAGCCTCACCCCTTCTGCCCAAGGCCCCACCCTTTTTGGGGGTGAGGGGTGGCCCCCCCCACCTTGCCTAGGGGGCAGGGAATTCTGTCAGCAGCCCTGATTTTTATTAACCTAGAACTTAGAGACCCCTAGCTAAGATTAGGTGCTGTACACAAGTCAGAGACAGTCCATGCCTCAGAGAACTTACAACAGCAGAAGTATTTATGGCACCATTTCACAAAAGGAAAACTGAAAGACAAAGAAATTGTGACTTGTTTAAGGTCAGGCAAGAAATCGCTAGCCAAGCCAGCTTGACCCTAACCCTTGTGTTGCAAAGTGTATAGCCTTAACCACAGCATCATTCTGCCACCAGTGTCTCTTGTTAACTTTAGTCACCCAAGTGTGAAAAATTGGGCCGTAGCTTTTCTGACTCAGTTTCCCCACCTGTAATAGTAACTTATTCCTTGTGTTAACCACATTGTAACCATTGACCAGCAGGTAGCATACAAGTGGAAATTACGAAATAAACATTCTGGATACTTATTTCAAACTAACCCTTATCAAATTAATCGAGAGCTGCTGTAAGTATCTCCAGCAAAGTGATGTTTTGGGATATATAATTTAAAGGTAAAAACCAGCCCATTTATTATTAGATCCAGTTTTACTTGAAATCCTAATTTCCAGATGGACCTTTAAGGAAAGAAAACACATATGAACCAAAGGAGAAAGATGCCAGGGACCGATTTTCAGTTGAACATCTTATATTTATTTTGCTTCTTTATAATTATGCAAATCTCAGTGCATCTTTTCTTAGTTAACTGGGTAATGACTAGCTTGGTAGCCAGCAGAGTGCTGCTTTCTGCGAAAAGATAGTGTTTGAAATCAGGGGTTATGCCTAGATCCCGCTCAAACAGATCTCTGTGCCAAAGGCTTTGTTTTGATACTAGAAACATTTCCACTACAACAGGCTCTGATGGCAGTCATGTGCTAGATTAGGAACTGACTCCATTCAAATAACAGACAGCTGTTTGGAGTAAAAACTTGTCTCTGTCAGTTTGCGCTCAAAGAAGGCCGTCGGAGAGAAAAAAACCCTTAGGCCTGGGAATCATTGTGGCTTAATCCCTCCTTTGGCAGGAGATAAAACTAGGGCTTTCCGATGCTCTATAATTTCTTGCATTGACCTGGAAAGAGATTTCTCTATTCACTGGTCTGTAAACCTACTTTTTTATATTTACTACATGATGTACCAGGACTGAATCTCCAACAGAGAAAACATGCCATGAGGGGCCGGGAGCCTGGGAAGAAATTTAGTCTCAGTTTAAATAACTTAGTAAAATAGAGATACACAGTAGCTATGAAAGAGAAGGGCAGAGGATGTGAAAGCCATTCATGAATTGTTGTTCTAACTTTCAACAGAAGGATTTTTCCTTCTCTACTTTTACATGGTGAAGTTGAAATGATGGCCAAGATTTTCAGAAGTGATGAATGATTTAGGTTGCTTCCACTTCGAAGTATTTTAATTGAGACACCATAAATAGTTCTGGTTTCAAAGGGTGAGTACCCAACATTTTCTGAAAAATCCCCTGGTGTCTGAAGTTGGGGGAGACCAATTTAGTCTGTCTCAATTAAAATACCTCAAAATGGAAGCAACCTAAATCATTCATTACTTCTGAAAATCTTGGCCATCATTCCAACTTCAGTCTGTAAAGTAGAGAATGAAAAAAACCTTCTGTTGTAAATTAAAAGAACAATTGCTAGTATCTTTTGAAAGGCTTGTTCAATGATATTCAATGTCCAGCAAAATCTACAGGGAAAAATGTAAAACTGGACCAGAACCTTTAGCCATACATGAACATATTCAACTGCAAACAGAATGAAAGCCCAAGATAGCATGAACTGCTTGCAGAAAGAATAGTGTTTTCAGTCAGATTCATGCATAATGCCCTTGATGATGGAAGTTTAACTTCTGGATATTTCACTGTGGGGGAAAAAACCCAACATGCTGTGCTGAACAGCCCACTGCAGTGAATATCAAAACTCCCTTTCATTGCAAAGTGACCTGGCATTAGCCTTTTGCACACCAGAGTACATCTACACTGTGGAGCTATTTTAGGATAAGAAGTATCCCGAAATATCTACTCTGCATCTATTGAAGCAGCCTGTTATTTCAAAATAGATTTCAAATTAACAGGTGGCTTATTCTTGCATCCCAGTAACCCTCATTCCACGAGGGTTAAGGGGAATTTGGGAATAGTGTGTTATTTCAAAATTTGGTGCTGTGTACGAAAAAAGCTATTTAGAAATACAATTGAAATAAGCTACACTTTGCATACCACAAATTGTGTTGCTTATTTTGAGCTAAGGGTGCCGTGTAGATGCACCCCTAGAGTCTAGATTCTCTCCTTGTGATCCTGTCTTGTGGTTTCTTTAAGGCTCATCTTCTAAGAAACATTAAAATAATATTTAATCCATTAGCAAAGAAGGAACTAAAGGGTGTACCCTGAGGGGACTGACATATTAACCTACTGGTCAAGGGCAGGAGAAACATCCCCTGGACACAAGTCACAACATCCAACAGTCAAAAGAGAGCGACAGACTGGAATGAAAAAAGATACAGGGCTGATTTTACACAATATTTTCCTATTTTGTTTTGATTGGAAACTGTCGTGTGTTTCCCTGTGGTCCTATGAATAGCCCTCTCATCACTAGAAATCTTACCTAACACCATTCCTGTGCAGAGATGAATCTCTGCCTGTCTGCTGTATTTGGAGGCAGTATACTCAGCAGTTACAGGAAGGAAGGTCTTGTTCTTTCAAAAAAAAAAAAAAAAAAAAAGGAGTCAGAAGACATGGATTTATACTCCAATCTCTTTGCCCCTTTCTGTGAGATTCTGGACAAACCACTGACTGTGCCTCTATTTTCTTATCTGTAAAGTGGGGATAATAGTGTTCATGTATCTCTCAGCGATGTTATTCCAGAATTAAACGTTACCCCAGTTGGTACAAAAGAAGGTATCAGCAAAACTGTAGTATATGAAGAGCCCAAGCAGATTAGACCAGGAGGGAATAAAGGAGATCTGTTAGTCTGGTATTCACTTGGACAACTCATCTGCCTCCATCTTGAACAACTTCCTCACTCCCTCACTACATTCCTTCTGGACTGGACCATTCTCAGTACAGCCTTCCTTAGGGCATCTAACAATAGTTATTTTCACGTTGACCACCAGGTGGCAATAGGCATAACAAAAAGACCAACCACATGACAGAAACCCTTTGAGAAACAAATCCAGTTTTTACATAGCTCTTACTTTCTTCCGGGGCCCTGCAGCTGAAGTCATTGAGACTCCATGAGCTCACAGATTTCTGTCCCTCCACACTGAATGGCAAGATGAAGTCCTTAGATGGTGAACTCTTTGAGGCAGTAGGACCGGAGTCACTCACCAGAGCATGCACCCTTTCACGATGAGACATGGTAAAGCAGCCTCTTCTGCTCTGACCCCTTCTGTCAACAGCCTCTCCAAACCTGCAACGGCTGCCCTTTTCCTGGACTCAGCCCACCAACCAGATCACTGATAACCTCGCCCTTTACTGGGTGGGCAAAACTCCCAACAATGACCTTAGGCAAGGTCTTCTCCCCCTCTGCTTTGAGTTCCAGCCAAGGGATCCTGTATTAAGCCACTCCACTCTGCTCCCTCAGACTCACTGTGACTTCCCTGGGCTGCCTCCTACCTTCATCTGCCTCTATTCCAAACTTTTTTCATTGATAATGTTCATACTTGGACACATTTAGCACATTTATCCTGTACCAAGCAACTCTTACAGGGACTTTCAGAACTCTGGGAACGAGTTTCAGATTACTTTACAGGCTTTCATGTATTCAGTCTGGCATCTCCAAGAAATAGAGAATCATTAGACCCATTTTACAGATGGGGCATGGAAATCACAGAGACACTAAGTCCCATATTTTTTCCACAAGCGTTCAGAAATGTATGTCTTGATTTTTGGATGCCAGAGTATCTCAAGCTGACCACTAAGCATATGTCTGCACTGCAATTCAAAATGTGCAGCAGGCTTGTGCGAGCTGACTCAGGCTAATTCAGGCTTCAAGGCTGTTGAATTGCTGTACAGATGTCCAGGCTAGGGCTGCAGTGCTGCTTTGGGCAGAGCAAAGGGGCTGGACTAACTGACCTCCAGTGGTCTCTTCCAACCCTAATCTTTTAGGATTCTATGAGCCTGCATGTTAATAGGGTCTCAGAACTCAGGGCCCAACCTGAGCCACATTATCCACACTGAATCTAAACAGGGCCATGCCCTGAGCCCTGTGAATCCAAGTCAGCTGGTGCATAGCAGCCACAGGTGTCTCAATGTACCGTGGAAATAGCCTTTCGATCGGGGCAGGCAAAATACAGCCTGCAGGCTGAATTAAGCTTGCCAAACCACCAGACCTGTCTTGACACATGCCAGTGGGAGCTTTGGGACAGGGCCATGTGTATCTCTCTGTGCTGCATGCCCAGGGGGTGCTTCATGCACTACCTCTACCTTTAGCACAATCTTGCAGCACCCATTAGCTGGAAACCAGCCAATGGGAGCTATCTGGACTGTGCTTGTGGTGCAGGCAGCATGCAGAGTCCCCCCTTAAGGGGTGCACAGAGATGCACATGGTCCCCCACAGCTGGCCACTTTGACTGACATTTGGGGATGCAGCAGACAGTGAGCCTGCCTGAGGGACCTGCTGGGCTGCTGGCTGGGAACTGCCTAAGTTAAGCACCTCCTGGCCAGAGCCTGCACCTGGCACCCTATCCCCTTTTCCCCTACCCTCTGCATATCTGATCCTACACCTAGACCCCTTCCAGACACTGCACCCCCTTGTACACCCCGTCTCTTGATCAGAATCCCC